TGCGGCCAAGGCGCGCGCACTGATACAACTCGCGGCGGTGGACATTGATCGACTAACGAAATCGCAATGGATATAAACAATGCACGCCGATGGATGCGCTGCTGCTTTCCAAATCCTCGGTGATTTTTCCCGGCCTTGATTGTGCTCCGAGCTTTTTTCAGCGAATCCGGCCTGCGGATCAATCGCGCGATATGTCTGCAGTTCGCATACGTGTGCTTGTTTTGTCAATTTGTTTCCATGACGCAAGATGTATTTTAAAGCACTCGTCGATCGATGAATAATTTCGTACTTGTCTTCATTTCAATTGATTTTAATTTAATTTAAATTTGAAAGATGCTCTTAATATGGCTAGATTCGAGTTCGAACTGAAAATTCAAGAATACAATGGAAACTAAAAATTATCTTTTTTTGGCAGCGTCGGATAAGAAAGCACGAAGAACATAACTTGACTATCTGATTGTAGTTGACATCCAGTGAGAGAGAAAGCAAAAAGGAAAGAAGCTCGAAAATACGTCGCCCCAATCTTATCTTTTCCATATAATACACAAGCGATTGCGATAGTCGCTAAAGCTTCTTTCGGTTCGGACTTCTGATACTGCAAAATAGTCCTTTGACTTAGCGATGAAAAATCGAGGAACATATTACCGAATCGATAATTTCTTTGTATTTCGTTAACTTCCTATTCACATTTGTTCGTACTCTGATCAATTCAGGATCCAATTTAAAAATGTATTCCCGACCTCTCGTTGCACAAAAGTCGAGTCAACTCTTTTTGAAGTTGTACACGACGTGTATCCAATTAATTATGCATAAGCCACATAATCCATAGTCTCTCCCTTTCTGTGTGTGTCTCTTTCTCTCTCTCACTCTCTCATTCTCTCGATTCCAAAGCTCGAATAAACGTACCCGCATTGAAATTCGCTTGATGCTAGGCAGCTCGTACGCCCCCTTATGATGTCGCAGGGTGATACTCGATGTATAATAGAAGATGTGCCAAAGCTTGGCGCACATAGGCTGGGCACATCGCGCCCAAGCTCAAAGTGCCTTTCTCTCTTATCTCTCTCGAGGGATAGGTGCTGTGCAGCACAACAGCAGCGACAGCAGCAGCAACAGCACAAGCACATTGTGCGAGGCTATATATCTGCCCTCGTGGCAGTTATAACGCGATATGTTTACACTCTCTCTCTCTCTCTCTCTCTAGCTGAGTCATAAAGAAATTTGCAAAAGGGACACACGTGCCTAATAAACGCGGAGGATGAAAATATCCGCCGCGCGTTTTTGTCGGCTATTCATTAAAGCTAAAGTGTGGCGTGTAGCAGTTGGCTTATAAGCCTCTGTGTAGGCACAAATTTATTATGCACAGAAGTGATTTGCTTTTGCAATTCTCCTCGAGAGGGTCCACGATTAATGAGCAAAGAAAGGCTTGCTACAATAAGATTTTCATTAATACTAAAAGCTGACTCTGGAATTGGAAATCGGACCGGCTCTGTTTATTGGAAAACTTTTTAATGCCTTTGTCAATATGTCACTTTGCAATTTGAGATATTCAGAAATACTTGAGGAAAATGATAATTCGCTACGAGTTATTGTTTAATTAAGATTTTATCAGTGACCTTATCGAGGAAAATTTAATTAAAAATTTACATCAGAATCAGTGAGTATAATTGCAGAATAATTATACATTTGAAGCCCCAATAACATTTCGAGCTCACCTAATTAATCGCACGAGAGTAATAATGTACATTATATCGAAAATTGAGTAATTGAATTTGTCAAGAAAGTCAATATATTTTGGTCAGCAAATTTTTAGTCGACATTCAAAGCAAAAACAAATAAAAAAATCTCAAAAAATCCTAATAAAACCTTCGAGAAAATTCACCCTTGAAAAAAGGCTCTAAAAAAATGAATAGGTAATTTATCAGAGCTTGTTAGATAGTGCCACTCGATACAAAAGGGCAAATGACATTAAAGGGCTTCTCCTTGTCGTACAACACGCGCACTCCCTTGCAATAAGCCTAGCCTACGCTGTCTTAATGGCTCGATTTGGTGCCTTTGCACGCCGAGCCTTATAGTCCGCATAATGTTCTGACTTTTACGCTCGTCTACCATATGACCCTAGATTGACGAGAGCGCGACACTCTCCCCCACGAGATGCATTTATATTCGACTGAGATTACGCACACTTTCGGATGCCTACAAGGATGCGTGCGCGGGGGTGTCTCGTATAATATGTATTATCCTGCTGAAAACTCGACTTTGTCGCACCCGGAACAATCAGGAGCTCTGTGTGTACATAGATATAACCCGGCAAATGGACGAAATTAACCCAAAATAAGTACAATACGCCACCGCAAAGGGAGAGAAAAACGAATGGGTTTTCGTGCTGCCAGATTAGAGGGGCGCTGCGAGTGATTTATGCCCTGGAAGCAGCCTTAATATATAAACGTGCGACGCGTATGCGCAAGGCAGATTGAATTTTCCAAATGATGCGCGTCGAGGAAAAAAAGGAAAATCAACTAGCCACTATTTGCACGAGTTAAGTTTTTTATCGTTACTACTGATGACTGACCGTCTGACAATGAAACTTTGGCGTGATACGAGAGAGAAGCAGAATTTATTGAAACGTCTTCCCTCTTCTTTGTAGAAATAAGCCGATTGATTACTCACGTACATGGATAAGGAGTACTAATGGTCTTTTTTTTATTGCGAACTCGTTTCTCATTTTATTACTAATATAGGTCTGCGTTGATTTCATAAATTATCTGTTCCTTGTAAATGAGAGCACAAAAGAGTAGAAACCTAAATTGGATAAGCTTTGTATCGATCAGTTTTCTTAAACTTTGCTTTAAATGTATTAAAAATCTAATAATAATGAAGAGTTATTGTATAAAAGTTACTCGATAGGGGCGAGTAATTCTTGAAAATTGTTAATACATGCTGTAACTTTTGAAGCCAAATAATCCCAAGACCGAATATCAAAGTTTGAGTGCGACTAATATAGCTGTAGAGAGAGAGCGTTGCCATATTTCTTGCAGCAGTATCCTGGAAAATCCAAGTTTTCTCGCGACTATATACATGCTCAGACAATTCATCAAACTTTTTATCGATAATGAAATTTTGATGTTTTAAATTTCCACTTAGTCGGCCGGATGTAGTCGGAGGCGCGCGGCATAGCTGCTGTTTGAACGAAGAAACGCGCAAGTAAGGTTTAATACTGCAGGCACTCCGTAAATTGTTCATAATATTCTTGATTCAATGTATAGAGGGTGCAGCCGAGGATGTGTACTTTACTCGAGTTTGAAATTCGATTGGTGGCCCGACGATCTTCATCGAACGCTGCTGGCTGCAGCGGTGTAAAACTTGATCCAATCATTCGTATACTTGCCTCGAGAGTCAAAACATCGAGTCAAATGATTCGACCGAGTGCACTGAAATACCATAGCTTTGGTATATATGCGATGCGCGACGAGAGCGACGTTGCGCCAGGCCGAAAAGCGAAACGCATCGCTGGAAAGCCGTAGTTCTCCAACGCGCGATGAAATCAATTTCCCTTTTGCCAGCGCCGCGAAGAAGAGAGAGAGAGAGAGAATAAAGCGACGTGGGCGCGCTTGTGTACAGTTGCGCACTCGGTATAAAGCTACGTATAGGATAGAGCCCGAGTCATCCCAAGAATCCGCTCCCACGCGGCACGCGCCTCCGAAATATAAATTCCCAACATAACTCGATACTTTGTACCTACTACTGCTGCTGCCGCCGCTGTGGTACGCCGGCTGTACCGAAACAACGAGCTAGCATGAATATATGCATGTTCGCAGGATACAGTACCGGGAGAGCGAGCGAGGCATGTTTGCCGAAGCATCGATCGCGCAATTCGTAGCCGAGTCATTCGAATACAACAGTACTGGTCCAGCGGCACACATTCGCTCGTACACACACGCGTACCTATATGGAGCACGCGAGAGAGCCCAAAGAAAACAATTAAGCCACGAACGTAAAAATATCCGATACGCGTTACAGGCATAAATCCAGAGCTCCGTACAGTACAGTACAGGAGTACAGTAACGGCTGCAGTTCACACGCCACCTGTACCAATGCCAAAGGTCATAATATTGCTCCGCGCGCGATATGCTCCGGCAATATACGGCTCGTTTCGACGTTGTGCCGTGCGCGCGCGCGTGTACGAGAGAAAGAGATAAGTATAGGATACACACGGGTGGCAGACTCGCGCTGCAGCCCAGGAATTTCCAATCGTTGCATAGCTTCTGTAGAGCGCGCTGTTATTATGTGCCAGTCGAGGATGAGGATACAAACCAATAGCCATTGACTTGACATGCTGGCGCATACGTAACTGCGAAAAAAAACACACACAAACCGAAGCGGCATCTGTACATTGGTGATTTTCTGTTACTATACTTGTATCGATCTACTTTCTCCGCGCACGCTAAATCCTCTCGGCGATACACGATTTCGATGTTACGTAACATTTCTCTCTCTCTCTCTCTTTCTCTCTGTCTTCTGTCCTGTTCGGCTCGCGAGAGATTATTACGCAATACGTGTGAATTAGAAAATTTTTTTCCCATATATCTGTCATTCGAGAAGTTCTACATAGCTGCGACATGGCCAAGAATTCCCATTATCAAAAGAGTTGCATAGAGGGGTCATTTACATGTGTATATTAATACCTGCAAAGATGGGCGGAATACGCTAATGCGCGCCTCTTTAGCTAAGAATGTCTATGTGATACGCTACATGCGATCAACGCTGACATGGGTCAACAGATCCCGGTATACATTTCAAAAGATCATGCGCTGGATTCGATGCTCATCGAGACGCTTCGTCACTTCATATTGGTTACGATAATCGTATCATATTTTGATATAATGGAATTCATTGACTCTTCAACGCCTCATTATTTGATAATGAGGCTCCAATCCGAATAGGAAATTCATAATGAAAATAACGCGTTGACGTTTTAACAAAATGAAAAGACAAGGTACCGGTTATGGGTCCAATTATTTTATTCTCATATTATACATAAATTACATACAAATTCTTAATTAACCAAGTATAATGAATTTCTAATAGTAGATATTAATATCGAACGATCTCGTAGTGTTACAGCAACTATAAAAAGTATCACATGACCTTGGCATGATAAAAATTAAGATAATGAGTGAAGAATTTTGACCATAAAAGTTGAGATAAACAAATATTTCTTTTTTTCATATGCTCTTTTGGTCGCGAGAAGCGTTTTTTCTTACTTTTATGAGCACCGTATTGGTCAAGAACACGTTTGGCTAATTGTATTTTAAAATAACTCGTTTACATTCCTTGAACGTTTCGTTTGCTATGAATGAAAATAGCCAAATAATTTTTTCATCTCCAATCGATATTATTTTTATTGACAACAGCATTATAACCGATGAGGCAATTTAAATACTCCTCGGTGAATTTTATATTTACAGATAAAATCTTTCTCATTTTCGATATAAAAATACACTCAAATATAATCTTCTCAAAATTCATAATAATAATTTATTTATAAATAAAATTTCTTATAAAGTTTTCTAATGTAAGTACTATTATAAATCTAATTCAAAAACATTATAAAAACATTGTTTATCAAAATATTCGTACAAATAATGTTATTTACATGTACTACGTTAGCTGCAATATTTCAAAATCAAATCCAATTAAATTTGAGCACAGCGATTGTGTTTTTATACTTTCGGTCACATCGAGTCAAAAAAAACTCGTATTTTCCAAACATCTTGATGTACTTGAATAGGCTTTATGATCTGTAAGGCAGAGAAACTTATTTACATGGCAAGATGCAGTAAGTAAGTCATTAATTATAAGTTCTGGTCGCTGATCCATCAGGTTTGCGAAAAGTAAGCCGATTCGCCAGTTAATTTTTCATAGAAAATCGAAGGAAAAAAAATAGCGACGTACGAGGCTGCAATCTTGTAATTTTCCCACGTCCAGCGAGTCTTTTTCCCGAGAATTTTGTGCATCTCTCTCTCTCACACGCGAAAGTAAAATCCCTGCGCGCTCTCGTAAAAACGGAAGCGTAGAGAATCTGCGTGCCAGGCGCCGAGACCTATGAGATTATACCGGGAAAAATACTCGGGAATATAATGACAGAAGATGTTTCTGTTACGATAACTAACTCCTTCGGTTGCTTCGCCTCTCGGTGTATTATTTTTTCTTCTCCTCGTGATCGCCTCGTTTTTTACATTGGTCGTTTTTTTGTCAGAACCGTCTTCAGGAAGCTTTTGTTCCGATTGCACGTATAGCTTTTAATGTCCGTTGAGCAAACAAAAGTAATCCTGCGCGCGGCTCGTCCTTCCAAGTATGATAATGCAAAACCGTTCGAAATTCTTGCAAAGATGTGTATACATCGTTAGCCAGAGTGATCGTAAATTTTTTTTGGGATGAAAAAAGGTTCTTTTATCGGTTTGTCGATGATCGGCGTCGACTCGCGTGCTCGCGCGTACACGGATGATTGACTTGCAAAAATAGATTATCACAACATTGGCCATCCGTAACGCCGAGGGTCTGCCCGCGTATATATTTATTTATATATAGATGCCTATATATCATTTAGCCGTTAGCATAGTAATGCAGGGCGAAGATCTGCAGGAGCATAGGCTAGTATTGTCTGTGTGTGTGTGTGTGTGTGTGTGTGTGTGTGTGTGCTGTGTGCGGGGCAATCTATGTAATTAACTGCGGGTGCAATTCGTTCTGAATGGAATTATAGCTCGATAGGCGTATTCGTTTAAAGAACCTCGTTTAGTGCCGCCCGTGGTAAAAAATACCGATCGCGATGTGAATAATATACCCATTCCCTCCTCCGTGCGCCTATACATAAATATAAACATGAAAGTCGTCATTCCACTCGCGATGACCAGTGGCTGCTTCGTAAGACTCGTAAAAAATATCCCGACTTTTCTCACCTCAATAACTCTCGTTAGACTTATTTTGTAATTTGTACCGTAATTGAATTAGTTGCTTGATTTATATTGGGTTCTCGATCGATGAAAGACAGAAGTGCTTATTTGGCGTGCAAAAGTCAGGACGGATCCGGGGGCTCGGATCGTTGCTCGCTGCTCGACTGCTGCAGCGGCTCGCCGTTACCGAGCGGATTCCGATCGGAGGCGTCCTCGTTGCGTCCCATGGGAACGAGAGGCACGTCGGCCTGATGTTGATTCTGGCTCGTCAGCGGCACGAGATGTTTGTAAACCAGACTGAGATGTATCATGGACACGACGAGGGTCGAGCCCGTCACGCCGAAGGTCCAGTAGAGGCCGTACTTCTCGTAGATCATGGTCACGAAGAGAGGGCCGACGACGCGCGAGGCACAGCCGGCCCCCGTCATCAGGCCCATCCAGACGCCCTGCGGCCGGGGCCCGAGGACTTTGCTGAAGATCGTCTGTATGAGCGTGACCCCGACCGGATAGCCGATCGTCGTGAAGCCGAAGCCGATGATGAATTGCACCTCGGTGAGGCGCAGAGTGTCGCGACACCATTCCTGAGTGCTCGGGCAGCCGACTTTGCGCGTGCCGTCCTCGTTGTGAGTCTCGTTATTGTAGGCTGAAACCATTGCCGAATTCGTATCATAAACATGAATATTATATCATATTATAGATGCGCGGCCATGCGGAGATGCTCGATTAGCATGGCGATTATTAGCTACGCAAACATTAGCTGCCGCTATCGGGGCCCGCGATCGACGCTAACTTCTTTATTTACATTATTATGTGTGCGTATAATAGTCTGCTGTTTATCGGCACGACTCCATCGGCTTCGAGTCTCGAGTGTACATAAAGAAGTTTTACATATCGGCCGCAAGTACCCGCGGCTAAAGTGCGAAGCGTCGATTGCTTTTCTCTTTTGTGAAATTGCCTATCCCGAATTTATCAGCGGAGAGCTCGGTGGCGCGATGGATGTTGAGCGCGCTGGGACACGACTCGACTCGACTCGCGCGCAGATGCAATATTATTTATGCACGAGCTGTGATCTTATCGACAGGCTAAATTTCAAGAGAGTTAGAGAGAGAGAGAGAGAGAGAGAGAGCGAAACTACGTACTGCACGGACGTTATAATATTTCTGCGCTCCTTGAATCTACCAAGATCGCGACTTGCACGTTGTCGTCGTTGTTGTTTCCCGTGCTTGAATACATTGACGATGGCAATAACTAGATAGCTCGTCGTATATTTTAGTATATATTTGCTGCAATAATCGGAATTTGAAATCCACGCGGCTACCGAAAGTAAACAGGTTTTGCGCTGCCTTGTTGCTCTTTTTTTATTGCCTTTTAATTAAGTGGAAAAGTCTAAAAGGAGCCATCCTAAAATCCAGAATTTTACGAGATTCGCCAGACTAATAAATGCCAAAAACCACGTCCTTTCACTTTGATCTCGACTAATGATTAAAATATATCCACGCGCGTCCACGATTTTCAAGCTCCAACTGGTGAATAAAACCGATGACTCTTTTTTATCTTAAAATACGTACACGCGCACACGCTCGCACACAAGCGACAAATTTCTTTCTAGAGCATAAAAAATTTTTCGAATAATCATGCTATGTTCGTATTGCTTTACACTAATGTAATTTCAATGCGAATCATGACATGAGTAGATGATTTCGATGTGTATTGGCACGGCGAAATTTCTATCGGACGCCAGCAAATTGATCTATCGCATGAAAGATTTGTTCAACGATTCTTAATAAGCATTTAAATTCATGAACAGCTATGTTGAATTCTAATAATTTTTACGATCGGTAAAGTATATTCACGGATACAATGCAGCGAGAGCACAGATTAATGGCTTTTTTACCATTATGATTTGCATCCGTCAACGTAAGTACGGACTGCGACGACAAAAAAATAGCAAACCGAATCTTTTCGTGGCGATAACAGTCAATTGAACCGCCGTTGCAACCACAAAACGTGAAATTGCCCAAAGGATGGATTCGTGGACGGAGTGCAAGATTGACTTCTGCAAAGAGGCAGATCAGCGCGGTCTGCTCGTTTTTGCATAAAACCCCGACTTTACCGAGCTAAAAACGCCGAGTTGAGTAGTCAGAGAAGGAAAAAAATGTATATAATTTGTGGTTTCGACAATGTCGCGCGGGATATCCATTTTGCGTACAAATTGGGTAGGGGAGAGAAACCGTAAAGTAAATTTGCGCGCGACGACGACGAAAAAAATCCGCGAGCTCGAGAGAGTATCAGGTGTAGTGAATGTGTATGCGTGTTAGTTACACACAACAACAGCAGCAGCAGCAGCAGCACAGAAGCCGAGAGAAGGAGAGAACGAAAGGTAAAGAGAACAGAGGAGGTAAAAAGGACGTCGTTGGATGGCATTTCGTATATAACTTACGTCCAAGTTCAGCAATCAACGGCGGATCTGGCCCCCAAGGAATGAAAATTATTCGACCGATTATCATGAGGAAAAAGCCACCCCAGAGCATAATTCTTCTCTCGTCGAACCTGTCAAACATTCAAGAACGTTATGTATAACAACAGCCTCGCAAATATACGCGAAGGGCACGTTAGATATTTTTGCGATCGTGGCGATGGAAAATAAAAACGCACGTACTTTTTGCACATCGGCCCTATCAATACGAATGCGATAACTGCCACGGCAGCTCCAACGCCCAGAAGTATTCCCATGTAAAACGTGGATGTTTTCGAGTCCCAAGCGAACTGATCCATCGTTAGCGGTGATCCGAGCCTGCAAAATTCAAAAAACAAAATAAATCACACACTCCAATTTCTTTGCAGTCACTCCAACATTTTTCGGTTATTTTTGCGTTGTAATTTTTTTTCCTCTTTGAGTTACAAGCTTGCAGGTACGTAAGCTCGATATGGTAGCGAAAAAATATGTCATAAAATGATGACCATCGACGTGAAAAGCTGCTTAAAATCCAGATTCAGTCGAAATATTTTTACGAGTGAGTTCTTGCTTGTCATACACATAATGAAATGCAGCCATATTATTCAAGACATTTACTATATAAACTTAATTTTAATAATCGTTATTAAGGTAATTACGTCGTTATCGCAGTCATTACACGGGGTAAGGTAATAATTCATAAAATTTGAATAAATTTCAACAAAAAGATAAGCGGGTAAATTATTTATTCGCCCGGTTGTACATAATTCCGCGGGCTGAAAAGTAGTGCACTCGTGGCATATATTACATGATACTCACGTTTCTATGAGCACGAAGTTGAAGACCAAGATAAAGAAGGCACTTATGAGAGACCACGAACCAAGGTAATCCGGTTTCATAGATTTCCACGTTTCTTTTTCTGCAAAAAAAAAAAGAGAGGCGTCGTCGCGCAAAAGGGTAAGAAAAAAAATCAGCGTCTGCTCTTGTAAATAAGGCAACGGATACTTGTATATATGATGCATATTGTGGAACGCCGGCGGAGCATGTATAAGCGGAGGGACGCGCGAGCAGAGGCTTTATATTGCTCTTTTTCTCGCGCGTCTTCAGCACCCGCGGCCAAAGCGATATGAATAAGTGATAGCTGTGCAAAGTCGAGTATTACCGGATGCTTTTCCTTGATTTCGCATGGCCTCCCTCGCGGCGATTTTGCGCTCTTTGAAGCTGCAGGGCAAAAAAAGGTAGAAATTAAGCATTCCCAAAAGTACGTTGATCCAGCCGGCCGCCGAGTACATATTCATGGGCAGACCCATTACGAGCCGCGTGTCTTCTCCCAGAGGTACTACGATCGATTGCAGCAGTGGTCCTACAACGAAACCAAGCACCTGAAAATTTTCCATTTCCGTGGAGCTTTAGTTAGGCTTTTATTTTCTCGTCGTCGTCATTTTCAGTTGCAGCTTCGCGTCTGCGTGTCGTGTGTACGCAATATACATGTCAGCGCGTTGTTCGCGTTCACGAAATTATTATCCCTAATTTGGCGAGGAGCGAGTCGAAAAAAAAAGAATTAGCGTACGAATTTCCATTGGCTCTGGCTCTTATCGCCCAAGCGGTGATTCAAAATTGCTCGATAATCGTATAACACGTAACGAACGGTCGCGAATTCCTTACAATGCCAATGTTGGAATCGGTATTTGCGTCGTTTTGTATCTGCTGTATAGCTATATGCTGCGTCGCATATAAACACTGGCACGGTACAAAGTGTCCTTTATACAAGTTTTACATAAACGTACGCAGTTCGAGCCGAAAAGGTGAGAGAGAGAGAGAATAAAAGAAAAAAAAAGAAACGAACGCGAAACAGCACATACGAGCAGTAGAGCTAGCGATATAAAGCGTAAAAGTTACGAGCATATAATATACAGGAGAAAGAAATTTGAGAAGGCATATACGCGCGACAACGACACGACATTGCAACAGTGCGCTGATATGTATATATACGAGGCACGGAGAGCTGCTGCGCGAATTACCTGAGCAAGGGAGATCATGGACACAGCCTGGGTGCGCTCGGAGAATCTGGTAGCAGCCGACAGATAAGAGCGAGCGAGCGCTATGTTCGCTGAAAAATAAAACGATCCTCTGAGCGTTTATATATACAAACGGCCCAGACTCGCAGAGCACTAACACATTTATATATTTGTATGGCACGTATGTGCACACGCGTGTTTCCATGGCATATATAGGAGCATGGGATAAACTTTAGCCGCGCATTGTCGAGCTGCAGCTCGTATGTACTGCACACAAGCCAACGCAGCGCTGTAATCTTTTTCGCCGAAAAACATTCTGATACGGTATTTAAATGGCGACTTTGCGCGTCCGTATAATACTCGCGTAGCGGCCTTGCGAGTAGAAAGATGGAAAAATAAATAAAAAATGAACGTTTCATCGCCATTATGTCAATCGGGTAAAAGCCCGTATACGCGGAGAAAGAGCTACCTGCGCTTAGGTGCTTTTGTGCGCATCGGTGTATGTAGGTTAAGCGTCCATTCAGGCGGCCAGCAGCAGCGCAGCTTCGTCATTTTCACCCATCGTCGCTCTTTCCCCGCCACGGACTTTTATTAATTCATCCTCGACGCTTTTGTCCTTCTTTTTTTTTCGTCGTCGAGTTTATTGAAAAAGTTAAAAGGAGAAACAAAAGTCGACTACTTACCCGAGCTGACGCCCACGAGAAATCTCGAAGCGACCAACATGACTTTACGATCGATCGGTATTATCTCCAGGGCGCTGTAGAGGGCCGAGGCAATGGTGAATAAGGCCAGGCTGAGGAGAAGCGGCAGTCTGACGGAGCCGCGCCGATTGCCCCACCAGCCAACCAGCGGCGAAAAGAGCATCTGCGCGAAAGGGTTGGCCGCAACGACGAGCCCCATAAATTCCTTTGTGGGTGCTTTGAACAACTGTGCAAAATAGCTCGAGTTATATAGTATAGCGCGCTTAATTCTCGAGCTGCTGCTGCTGGCTTGTTTCTCTCGGCGATCACCCACGCGCTTACCTTTCATTTATATATAAATCGCTTCTTTCGCACCCTTTTCTTGCCATTATATACCTGCAGGTAAACGTACTTTCGTATGAGAGACGAGAGGGAGAGAGAGAGAGAGAAAGCAAGAAAGCAAGAAATCCCCGCGCGGATGTTCGCCGAGACTCTCCGCAGATTCTTCCCGGCTGTTCCTTTTTTTGTCGCGCGAGGAATCTCATAGGATGCATCGCTGCGATTTCCAAGCCGTACGGATTCGCGCGTAGTTGTTTTTTACCGCTCCGATCGCGCTTATTTCGAATCCTTGCCGCACCGATGCCGAGAATTTTAATTCAATACATTAGCGCTGGCAAAAAAGGGCCTTCGCCTCGATGCCGAATTTATTGGACTCGAGACTCGATTGCTGCTCGCGCGAGCGCGCACACACACACGCACTGCGCACAGCACACACACACACACATACACATGCGCATGCGGTGGTTAAAGAGAGTAGCAGTTCGATGCCTTTGTTTGTACACTGCTGCGACTTTTTCACTCGGAGTCGCGATGCTCGCCCCCCAGAGACTCGACATCGGCAAAGTATACAATATTAAAAAGACGCGTGCGGATCGAATCGGTAAAGTATCAAAGGCTATCGGACTTATTATACGCGCGTATAATTACACGCGGCCGCGCAAAACCCATGAAAAATCCATGCTTTATTCATCGATCGCTTTGTGTCGACAGCGTGTTCTTTTGCCGCGCGCAGCACAAGCTCGTCCTCCGATTTTCAGATTATAATTGCGATTATGAGCAAAAGTTTTGCCGCTCGCGCGTATAAATTGAGCATAATTTTTTCCTCAAAATCCGGGCTTCGACCTTTTCGACGAGCGAGTAATAATAATGCGCGCGCACTAGTCGTTTTTAATGTAGCGTCGCGTCAATGTCTGCGAGATACGAGCTTTTTGCGAGGAGGGCCGTTAGCATGGAAATTTAAAACTTGGCAGTGGAAAACATGATTGTTAAGTGCTCGCGATCGGATTTTTCTCGTTTGAAAATGCGCAACATTTTTTACTCCTCGAGCAAATGCGTATACATATTATATGCGGGCGAGCGACATATATGCGTGCGCGCGCGTGAATTAAAATTCGAATTCGCAGTTTATAGTTACCATGACGAGGAGCGACCATTCGAAAACGAACATCGGAGCGGTAAAATTTTACAGCTTTTGCTCTGTCTTTTGGCGAATCGCGCGACAAACCAACAGCGCCCGAGTGCGTACGTGTAGCATGTAGAAAAATATTACCTTATTTAAATACGGATAATTTCCGGTCAGTACAATGCTGAAGGCAAGAGACATCAGGAACATCGTGAAGTAAATCACGTAAATGCTCCGTTGTCGTTCCTTTCGTTCGAGCGCCGTTTCCAAGTCATCGTCCACGTAATTTTTTTCCTGAAATCTGCCAGTGATACGGGTCAATTGAAAATATTCACAGCTGCACACGGTGGATTTTTTATACCAAGATTACAGAACGAGTTTGCGCAAATCTTAGCTTTGCGAGTCGATGTCGTATGCGGTTTACGCAAACAACAGCGCTTCACGCTCGGCAAATATACTTTTTCAGGATTACAACTATTTCATTAATAATTTTCAAATTTCAATCATATTCTTCGGCCTTATGTTTCTTTTATCAAAAATTCAAAGTGCTTCAAAGATTCAAATCTAAATGATCTAGGAACAAAAACACGAATGTCAAGCTTGTCTCGTATAAACCATTTGAAAGTTCGTAAAGCAATAGATCGTATAAATGTACTCAAGCGCGACGACGGTGGTTTGTTTGTCAAAGATTTCATTATCGTTTCATCGCACTAACGCAGCTCGTTTGGCGCTGAGCTACAACATCGAGCCACGGCGCGCAATCTTAATAAATTTGGAAAACGAGAATTCCGCGATACGACAACGACGACGGCAACAAGGAACGTTGGCCAAAATCGCTCAAGGCTGCGCACAATTCGAAAATCCTCGGGTAGTTTTGTGCGTCATAAAACGATACGTGCCGCAGAAAACATGCCGAGGAAGAGAGGCGCGTAAAGATACATGCCAAAGCCGCGACTGCACGCGCCCGCGCGGAGTTTGTAAAAGAAACTCGTAAAAGAGCCATTGAGCTTTGAAGTTTATTGAGTGAGATATTCAATTTACCGAAATAAATTAAACAAACGAGCCACGATAAAAAGATTTGTACACATACTTTTTGCGTTAATTAACGTGCAACTGTAATCGATGCATAAATTTTTCATAATTTTTACGATATAGTGCCATTGAAAATCGAATCAAACTGTTTGGTATTTATACAAATGTCAAGTTTTATGTAGAAATATTCATTGCACGGCGTAAGTACTCATCATTCAGCGTACATATGCACGCCAAAGCAATGTTGTATTTATGCTTAAAAGAAATAAGATTAATTTGCAGTCCTCATCGAGTTTTGCGTGATTTCTTGGTCAATATTGTACGATTATATTTTCATTTTCGTAAATGACTGGCACACATGAACTCGCGCGGGGATTATCTTTAGCTTCTCGAGAGATGTAACATTTTTAGCTCACGAATATTTCAATTCAGTGCATCGCGTCGTTTAAATGTATCACATCTAACGGAACGATACATAGACAAGTGGACTATATCGAGCTTACTTTTTTCTAACCGAGGCCCTCGTCCTTCGGCTCCATTCGTTGCAGCTGCGGCGCCAAGCGTGAAACCTTGGCCAAGATGTCGGCACTATCACCTCGCTTTGGTGCACTGGTATCGAAGCCATGGCCCATTAAAATTAATAATCAATCGTGCAGCAGCAGCAGTTGGAATTCTATCCTATCCCTGTAACGAGACAATGTGTCTTCGTCAAGAAATTTCACCGGGTGTCACTGTCATCTTTGCGGCTCTCCGTACGTCGATCGGTGTCTTTTCGGTTTCACCTCGTTGCGCTCCCAAGCTGCGCACACATAAACGTAATTATAAAAAATTAAAAATTGTTGCTTCAACATTGTTGTGCTTATTAATTCGCAGCGTACGTAAAACGTGAGCCGATATGCTCTCATTCAAAAGGGCGATATAATTTCGCGATAAGATTATAATTAACATTATATTGTACCAAGTGTTTTAATGAACAGGCTATCGATTAATCATGGTATGTATTTTAAGGTCAGACTAATGATCAAATTTCCTCGAGTTAACGGTATGTATTTGTTCATTTTTTTTTCGTTCTTTGATTTAATTTTATACATCATTGGTAGAAGATGATTCGTTATCGCGTGCACGTAGTCCGATCCCGAGGACTAAAATATTAGGTCTGCGAGCGAGCAGATAAAGCGATTGGCCTCGCGTCGATCCGGTATAATCAAGCATGCAGTAGCACTTTGATGTGTCTATTCCACGTTCGGCTTCGACATCGAAGAGAAGAGAAAAATTTTATAACAGAAGGTAGCTGGAATTATCATAAGGATGACGTCATCGTCGTCGATTCGAGAGCGGTAAACACGATGATCGGTTGGCTGGTTTTGCAAAAAAAAAGTCGCGCTTACAAAAGAGTCGGCGGAGTCAACGAAAACATTATAATATCGATTGGCCGCGAGTACACGGGTATATATTTGAATATATATGTAGGTAGGCTTGTGCAAGCCGCAGCCGAGCTCGAGCGATTATTCAAATCCGCGTATGTACGTGCTACGTACGTGACTCGGCGAACTGCATCGCCTCGACGCGTCGAGCTGTAGGCCGATCCGCGCCTCGTATCGGTTCGCTGCTGCTGGCTGCGTAATGAGCCGTATGTAAGTACATACAAACAATGCGCTTTGGTACACACTACACACGCAACAACGACTGCAGTACAACAGGCAGCGCCGCGAGCGAACGTCACGAGCGATAATCCCGAGAAAAATAAAGAATTACAATTATTATCGGGAGATGCGTCGACGTCTATTGGCAATTGGCATACATACAGCCAGTACTGCACATGTGCATATTAGATTATAGGCGCTCCGAGTCGTACACGTACTCTCCGGCGAGTTGCAGAAAAAAAGAGCACAAGAGCGAGCGAAAGTTCGTACGTACTCGGTCACGTGCTTCGGACGCGGCACAGGTGTTCTCTAGCGACTTTACACTTTGGGGCTCGGCAAAGTGTCGCGCTCGACTCGTCGTATATGCAGTAGTAGCGACCGTAGCAACACCGGCGGCTGAACCGACCTGAGACGCTTATAAATATACATTATAAGAAAGACAAGAGTCGAGAGCGACGTTGCAGGCGGCTGTGTGTATACGCGCGCATCGTCGAGTCAGTCCGACGAGTTACACAAACGCGACGCTATACTTCTCTGTCTCTTCTTTCGTGCTCTCTCTCTCTCTCTCTCTCTCTCGCTCTTTCTCGCTCGATCTTGCTCTATCTCTACAAGACTGCACTGCGCTGCGCCTGCAGCTTAAGCTATATATCGCCACAGCTCACATATTTGCAAGCGTATCGTCGCGTTTCGACAAAAAGAGAAAGTACGCGTGCGATACATCTGCAATCGAGGCGATTGGTTATCGGGCCGATTTTCATATGCGTCGCTCCGAAATCGAGGCATTGGAAAGAGGAAAGACAGAAAGAGAAAAGGATGGAGAGAGGCAGAGCTCAAGGTCGAAAGAGTCGACAAACGAATATGAACGAAATGACCGGTCGGAACGAGTCGGTATATAATGTGGAACTTGTTTCGAAAGAAATGCCAATGTTAGTGAAATGTATACACAAAGGAACAAAGTACGATCGCGCATTGATAATTGGTGTGACTAGTTGATCACACACAATGAAAAATGCGTCATGCGCATCACTACTCACCTCATTGGAAAAAAATCAAAGTCGTATTACTCGGCATAGAACGACGATCTTTGGGAAAATCGCACTCGGCGCACTAACAACTTCCGGTCTCGTGCTGCATTTATGAAGCTCACACACACACACACACACACACAACTCCGCGTATATATGTATGTTTAGAGAGCGAAAGAGAGATGCGCTCGCGCCTATACCTGCTCGTGGTATGCGGGTGAACGAGCGAGACGCGCCAAAGGCAGCCAGTGACCTAACGCTCCCAGTGTCTGCACCACATATCGTATTCGAACGCGTATATGTACACAAATATACGTACTGCTACACCATCGTCGTCTGCTATTTTTTGACAGACTCGACTCTCTCTCGAGTAGTAGTAGTAGTAGTAGTAGTAGTAGTAGTCTCGCTAGGGAGTTACGCACCGATCAACTATACGCACCGCACATCGTGAGCCGAGTTTAAAATTCGAACGCGACGGCGTACGTTCCGTAAGCAGCTGGACACCGGCGCGAAACGTACGATCACGGACTGCACATACGCGTTCCGTATGCAGCGAATAATCGCCGCGAGACGGAGAAGCTTCGCGCTGCAGCGATCTGCCTTTTTGTCAAGGACGCTATCTGGAACGAGGAGATAAGAGAGCAACGCAAAAGTAGGTCCCCGCGATCGCGCTCGACGCTGCTGCCGTTGCCTGCACTGCACACACAGCGGCCTGGATTGAGAGGCGCACGCGACTGCACGATATAACGTATATAAGCTGCACGAATGTGTGTATGCACGCGCGAACGTGTATACTTACTCGCGCCTTCTTCGCAGCTCGCTCACTCGCTTACATCACGCAATACCGATGTATACTCTCGAGTCGAGTCGCGATCGCAGCCGAGCACCATGCAGTCCTGCGCCACTTACGCCTCTCTACGATTTGCAGCTCTGCACAATATAATGTACTCGCAGCTCCGATATATACTCGCTCGTCGGTGAGTCATTTATCGTTGATTCGCTTTCTTTTATCGACGAGCTGACATCACGCCGTTGGCACGAGGTGCTTTTCATAAATGCAAAACAACAGCCGCAATACTCCAAAGTCTTTGCTGCTTGATGCATTGTATCGCGGGATATAGTTGACGCTCCAAAATCTGACAACCAAAGCGCGATGTGTGCAGCGTGGCTGAAGCTGCAAGCTGCGAGCTTCGTCGTAGAGTCGTGCGGCGCTCGAGCGCCCCAACTGCCGCATAACCTGCGACTGAGCTGCAACATCCTACTTGACCGATTGTCGTTCTTTTAACATTTGTTGCTCGTGTATATAATTCAATATACGTCAGAACTTGGCTTCATAGTGGCAAGATGGCACGCACCCAGAACTTCAATTTTGACGGATTGCGCAAAAATTGTCATATAAAATTTAATTTTCCATATGTCCAAGTATTTTGAATTCAATAACGTGTCTTTTAAAGTAACCGTAATATTTAAAAAAGTCGAAAACCAACAAATTTCGTCATTTAAACGAATCCACCGCCACTGATCGAACACTGGTCGACACTACTGATTCGTTGCTTCATTGTTTTTGAAAACAGCTACATTCGAAACTGATGTTTTGTTTTTAATCCACACATCAAGTATTTCAAAAAACAAACGACTCGGTGTATAAGTGTCTCTAGAGTTGCAAGGATTGTATGTAAGTTACTCAAGTATCGTAACCTATTTTAAGCTAACGTCCTTTTATGTCTAAGAAGATTTTTTCGAATTTTGATGCCGTGTGGCTGGCTTCAGTTGTCGCGTAATATGCCAAACATAATAGGCACGTGTTAGCTGTCTGCTTCAAAACACCGGGTTGCGCGCGCATTGTGTTGACAAGATGGCGATTGTTTCTTAGTTTCTCTGCCGGCGCTGCATAATATTGGCTTTCAAAATAAACAATTTTCAAACGGTTGTCAGTGCAAGTGTAGTATTCAGTAATCATGGACCCCAAAGAAGATGATGACAGTGATCGCGAAGATCCCCACGGTATGAATTACCTTCTCTACTATGTCCTTGTTACTTTTAATATTAACGTCAATCATTATTTCTTATTAAATACTAATTTAGATCAAGCGCAAGATTTTTTGCAAGGCTTGGAAGGTGCAGCATTTCAAAGTAGATTACCGTTTGAAAAATTGACATCTATTGAAGCTGCTTGTTTTCCTGACGTTTCTGATGGCCCAGCCCAAACTCAAAAAGTGTTTTTACATATTCGCAACCGATTGGTAAATTATATGTCATAACAATTATTATATTTCTACGTTTCAATTTCATAGGTAAATAAATATATTTTCAGCTGCAATTATGGTTAGAAAATCCAAAACTTCAATTGACCATTGAAAATGCTTTACCACAAATTGAACCACCATACAATAGTGACCCTTTATTGGTAAAACGAGTACATGCATTTTTAGAAAGACATGGGTTCATTAATTTTGGAACTTTCAAACGCCTTAAGGTAGATTACATATTAAACTGAATTATAATGATGCAGTAACTGTAATGTAATTTTACAATGGTTAATGATTAAACACCTGTTTTATTTTTAGCCAATACCTACCAAAAAACTTGGTAAAGTAATTGTCATTGGAGCTGGAATAGCTGGTTTAGCAGCGGCTCAACAAATGCAACAATTTGGCCTTGAAGTAGTAGTTGTAGAAGCAAGGGTGAGTGAAATCAAATTGAATAATAATCATTTCTTCAATGTAGTTTTATTGAACAATACAATTTTTACAGAACCGAGTTGGTGGACGCATCGCTACATTCAGAAAAAATAAATATGTTGCAGACTTAGGAGCTATGGTAGTAACTGGACTTGGAGGAAATCCTGTCACAGTTTTGAGTAAGCAAATAAACATGGAACTCCATAAAATAAAACAAAAGTGTCCTTTGTACGAGATGGATGGAAATGTAGTGAAAGAGGTTAAATTTAAAGAGGTAATAATATTTCATAATCATAGATTATGAAACTTAAATGACTTTTTATTGTAGGTTCCAAAAGACAAAGATGAAATGGTTGAAAGAGAGTTTAATAGACTACTAGAAGCTACATCTTACTTATCGCATCAACTAGATTTTAATTATGTTGGTGTTCCTGAGAAAGAAGGTACTTCTAGTGACAATAATCGACCTGTGTCTTTGGGTCAAGCCCTCGAATGGGTTATTCGGCTACAGGAACAAGGTGTCAAGCAACGACAAGTCAATCACTTTAATACAATAATTAAATATCAAAATAAACTCTTGGCCAATCAAAATAAGGTAACATATCCCAAAAGTGGTTTATATACATTAAAAACTAAGAAAAAATTTAAAATAAAAAATTATTTTAGTTATATGAAATACAAGAAATTATAAAGCAACTGAGTGAAGAATATAATGATAAAGCAGACAGTAAGCAGCCACTTGATGTAACAAAAGAATTTGTTCGTAGATCTAAGCTTAGAGATCTTCAAGCAATGTTTAAAGAATTTGATTCTTTGTTGGAAGAACAAGCTCAAATTGAAGTAAAACTTAAAGAGCTAGAATCATCACCTCCAAGGTAAATATAATAATAAAAAAAACTATGAATATTTGTGATGAAGAAAACATAATTTTAATTAATAATTATTTAGTGATGTGTACTTATCATCAAAGGATCGGCAAATTCTAGATTGGCATTTTGCTAATTTAGAATTTGCTAATGCAACTCCACTTTACAATCTTAGTTTAAAACACTGGGACCAGGATGACGACTTCGAATTTACAGGAAATCATCTGACAGGTAAAATTTATACATTTATATTTTATTTTACATTCCTCTTACTTGTGTTATTTCTCTCCTCATCCCGTTATTCATATTTATATTTATAAAGTAGGATTTTTTAGTAAAATTAAATTCAAACTTAATGAACCAAAGTTGATAAGATTTATTTTCATGTCAAATATCGATTTTCGTAAGAAATTATTCTTAAAGTGTGAACCATTTTTATAGACTAAATCAAGTCCATTCTTATTAAAAACATCCAACTAGTGCTGATAATTTTAAATCTGATACTATCAGAGAAAAATAAAATTAAATGCAAATACTTTATGCCAAGCAAACTATAAAAATATCATTAATTTTTTTTATTTTATGTTGAAGTAAGTTAAAAGACATGACATAAACCAGACTTGTTCACATGAAATTAAATCATATTCCACTTGTAAGAAATGATAGTACTATGATTGTATTGATTTGAGACTTTAGGGTACATATTTTAATCAAGGAGTTGTAAAACTTTCTTAATGTTAAATCAGTCTGAAAAGTTTGTTTTAAAAATGTGCTCTATATAATTTGTAGTGTACTCGTATACAAATATCTTGCTCGTGCTTCCGTTTGACTAAGTAAATATGATTACAAGTATGAGTTCCAGCATGAAACTATGCTCTGAAAGTTTAGAAGTTCGATAGAGCATAGGAGGGAATCCTGGAAGCTGAATGCGAAAGAGCTTGAAAATCCGCAAATATTAATTTAAGCTGCAACTATATACAATCAATAACATTGATCGATCAGTTTATCGAGACTTGCGCGAGGCTCGGTTCGCTGTGGCACATATGTTTTCGAGTGGCTATATGTATACGTTATATGCACGTATAGAATGCCGAGCATGAGGCAAAGTTCGACTAATCGCCCCATCAAAACTTAGCCAGCAACAAATCTCATTAACGGACGAGGTGGTAGTGGAGCTGTTGCCTCAACGACGAGATTAACGATCGGCAAAGTCCTGGTCAGGCTCTTCGCGCTTTGTACTCGCTGCGGCGCTCGCAGGGCCGTGAATCAAAATCGCGCTTGGCATTATCATATACACACACACATACTCATATAACACTATTTCGACGGCCGTTGCAGATTTGAACGCAAGCAATCCCGCGACAAATATTACCATAAACCGGTTAAAAGCCCCGAACATTGCTCGCGAGAAAATGCGAGACTATGCGTTATTTATCTCTTGCCAGGGAACCTGTTTTTCATTCTCAAATATATTTTTTTATACGTAAGGGTGAGTTGTGCGCTGCATCTCGGCAGCTCAGAGAACATAATAATAACGAGCCGAAATAATTAAAGCGCCAGGCCGTACTTAGCGAGGCGTAATTGCCCGTGACAAAATTGCTCCCATTATATGATCTGCTGCGCGAATCTCGCGTTACTCGGTGGCACAGCAACTTTCGTCGGCTGTATATTTTATAAAAATAATCCGATAATTAGGAGCGAATTACGCAGGCAAAAGCGTCTTTGAGCATTTCACAGCCAATTGGCGCTTGCGGATTACATTTCGCGCGATCATTTCTTCGTCGTGAACTTTGCCAGAGACCACTTGTACGAATATTCGTGAGAACAATCGCGCCGATTGATCTGCCTCCGAAAAATCGAGCCTAACAATTGTTCAATCGTAATCCATCCGTCGAAGGTAGCCGTAGCTTCCGGGCATTGACCGCACGCTCGCTGGATCGCTAAATCTCCAAAGCTTCATTACTGTCTATTCTTCTGCAATTGTGTAAAGTCCCACATAATCGTTCGTCTGAGCTGGGAGGTATAGGCTGCGGCGCGCAAGGCGAGATAGGCGCGAGTTCGAGAGAGAGAGAGAGAGAAGGAGATGCCTGGCCAGGATAAACGCGTGAATTATTCGCTCGATACTAGCTGCTAAGAGATCCGCTTTGCGTGTAGGCCATTAGGTACAACTGCGCGAGCAGCTACTCTGCCCAAGTCTGTGTGTGTGTGTGTGTGTGTCGAGGCTTCGTTTTTCGGACTTTATCGCGGGCTCTTATTAAAAAACGATCGCGCTTCGATCTCGGCGCGAACTGAATAAGTACGGCAGTGCTACTCGCGTTTGAGCCTCCCGAGCTTTATGTGTATAATCCGCGACGCGTCCAATCCTCTTTCTTTCTTCTTTTCTTTCCGTGCCTTTCTTCCTTCCTCCGTTTAGCTTTTTTATAATGGCATAGCTTTTGTGCTTTACTCGATGCATCTCTACTGATAATTTCACTTATGGCCTCTGTCTCGTTTGTCCGTAAGAATTTTATTTCTCTCTTTTTCACACGCCATAAGTGCAAAAGCGCATGCTATAGAATTAAGCCGGAAAAAATATCCAATAGGTAGTTTTATGGTAAATAGGAAAATTCTGCATGCTCATTCGATATCGCTATGCGTGGTAAATAAATATTATATGTAGAGCTCGAGCCATGCAACAGCATCACTCGAGTGAATATTCGTATAGACGCGCGTAAGCGTCGACAGGAAATCGTAAAAATGGTCCTGCGAATGGCCGGTGTAAAGTATGTGTTAACCGCTCGACGATTATGCGTTAGCTCTCGAGAGCGCGAGAAGGAAAAATGGAGTTTATCCAGGCAGCAGAGGCGACGCGCACCAGATAAAAAGAGAAAGAAAGTGAAGCTCGTCGTTATTTATACAAGCGGCCTATTATATAATATAAAACGAGTCGCGAATCGTTCGCAGCGATCTTCTCTCTCTCTCTCTCTGTATGGAAGTATGGAAGCTAGTGCAGCGCGACGACAATATATCCGAAGAATTCCAAATAAATACGGCGTCGCGTATAGCGCTCTAGTGCGCGTTAGGCGCGTTCCGTGCATATACATATGCAAGTATATACAGCGAGACTCACGAGGGCTTATTTCGTGCCAGGTAGATATCTGCGCGTGGCTGTTTACACACACGCATGCAGGCACACGTGTAGAAAGAGAGTCAGTCGATTGCCGCGGCTGTGCAGTTGCCGATTCAAGGGACACATGCGCACGCGTTAAGGTATTTGCATCCGCGTGAATCACAAGTTCTATCAAGCGAATACGTCTTGAAATTCAAAGGCCGATTCTTCTCGCGGCAGCAAAGCTTTTTGGATTTATCCTCTTTATACGTATGCACATATAGTATCTACTCAAACGAGAAAGAGTATAAGAGAGGGAGAGAGATGGACGCTGCGTGATTATCTAAGCGCGTGAGAAATGGATCGCAATTCGTTGTCCTCGCAGCTAAATATACTATACGTGCGATGTACATTATTCTGCAGAGCTGCGACGTTCGAGAGCGAGAAAGCCATAGGGAAGCCAGTTTGCGCACATTGAGTCGCGATCATGTATTATATACGTACTCGAATAACGAACTGTCGCGGCTTTCGGTGCAGTGCGAGAAATTTTCGTGGAAATTGAGAGCTGCGCTGCTGCGTGGATGCTGATATTGGTTAAATTACACTTTACTCACGCCACTGGCGTCGAAGCACGGCTTCGCTTTTGTACCTCCACTAGGCACCTTTGTCCTTAGCGCTGATGCTGCTATTCGATCTTTTATACATCACGCATTCGTCGACGACGAGAGGGCGGCGATTTGACGCGATCGTCACGTTTGCTCGTGTTCGCGCGAGCTTTCTTCAAACCATTTGTATCTGTGCTCCATTCGCGCGCGCTGTTAGTTATACTTAAATTCTAAATCCACTGCTCGCGCGTAGTTCGGCATCGATGCGAATCCACTTTTATCTGCATTTCAGGTTTTCACGACGAACGTTGAATTGCATTAATTATACGGATATGAGCGCTTGTCAGCGAGTATCAATATTAATTATCGAACTTCGGGTGATTCTTTTCTCTTTTCCTACATAAAACACACGAATAGTTCTAGTTCTTTGAAATATCCACTATTAAATATCTATTACCACCTGTTGAAAGAAATATTTCACTTTTTAAACGAGTTTTAGTTTTCCTCGCCTTGCGTTCTATTATTACCAGTGCTTATATTAAAATATACTTTTATTGTACGTCTTTACTTTTAACAAATTTTTTAGTGACAATGAATTTTGTTCATTAGTAATGGCTATGCACTGAAATGAATAATAAGTTCAACATTGGCATCGAGAACTCTAGCCATTAATTGTCCTTGTCGCGTGCCTGCGTAAGTGCGTTTTAACGAAAACACAAGTAGTTTCATGAAAAGACTGAGTAGTTAGGGAGGAAAAAGCACAAAATAAGAACTTGTATATGCTATTAAAAAGAAATGATCTCACATCGACGTTGTAGTTTTTGACAAGCTGCAAATTTTACTCTCTTCTCGGGAGACCTGAAATGCTGTAAATGCCAAGCCTTCGATGACGTGTTACACGAGAAGCTACGCGCGTAAATACGCCGCGAGCAACCTGTTAATTTGAAAGCTTTACTTGCGCTCTTTTATTTCAAATAAATCAAGCCACCTTTAATATTATAGTTGCTGCAGCTCATCCACGAACTTTGTCAACTTTAATTTTCGATGCTTGAGCTACAATTTTGTAACTGTTCTTAACGGCTCTTTAACGAACTACAATTTTGTAGTTTATTAAAATTGTTATTCGAAGAAACGTACAGAATTTCGTCCCAGCTCTACAATTTTGCGCATGAACCGTTCGCTTCATTGAGCATCTGAATGGGCTGTACGTGTGTGCATCCTTCTCGGAAACTCATGCGCGAATCGTATCGGGCTTACAAAGGAAAATTTTCGTCGTCGAAAATGTCTTTTTGCCTCGAGAGACAAAATACGTTGTGTTTACATGTAAAATGGGAGCGTCGCAGCATGATTAGATGGCATTTTAATTTTTTCACTTTGTCCTCGTTGTCGTCACCATCTCTGCACTGGCTCGTGAAAGAAAAGAGTGCATTAATAATTTTTCGTCCGAGCACAAGTCCCGTCGTGTGTCATGTCGCCATTGCCGTTAGCGACGCGCGGGCACTCCTCTATCTCTCTCTTTCTTGGCATTTTCTTTCTGT